CAGGAAACATAAGTCACCAACTAGCAAAGGTCTGAATAAGTTCCAGAACACTTGCTCCAGTACAAACCCCAGAAATGCTTTGCTAACATTTTAATGCATCATTTTTAGAGCTGTTCTAATTTTATCTTGATTTTAACCATTGGATATGGCACTCAAAACAGATACTACTCAAAATAGATAATTCAGCATCTTCTCGTGCTTGTCATCCTTTTGATAAATCAGTAAAATATGCACTTAAAAATGAAAATTTTTCATCTTTAAAGAAATCAGCTTTCATTAGGGACAAAGACAGCCCCTGATGCTCCCAGCAGTGGGTGAGAGACACAGAGAGAGTGCACAAAGCAAGCATGTGTGTGTGCATATAAATATACTTACAAATATATACATACCTGTACATAAAAAGATATTTAAAACGCCTCTCACCATCTCCATAATTCAATAGTTACTTTCAATCTATGCCAAAAACTAGAATTTGACATTCTAAACTGCCTGAAGAACCAGCTCACATGCATTACTGTCCATTACAAAGCCCAGCATTCCCTGTGATTTGAACATTCCTTGACAAATTTCCAAGCTGAGCTTAACAAGCTAATTCAGGCAGGAAAGAGTTACTTCTCTTTCTTGTTTTGGTTTTGTTTCACAAGAAGCGTTGAACAGTGCAATTCTTGTCCCAGCACATAACAGGTAACAGACTGAATTGATCAAGCTGGGGAAAAAATGCAATAATAAAAAAAGCTGAAAGACAGTTAGATCTTGCTGCATTTTATGCACAATGAAGCAAGTTTTGGATGATTAAAGAAAGAGAAGAAGGAAGATCTAGTCTGCCTCTCCTAGATCAAAGAACCACAGAAGACAGTTCTGTTGCCTTGAGGCTGACAAAGCTGGTAAGGGGGAAATTTAGCTCTAGACACTGTTCTTTAGAAAACTATTTAGAAGGCCGCAGAGGGCTTTGAGGAAGAAACTCAACCTTTTCATCAGGAATTTTGCAATGACATAAACTGACGAAAAGCATGTTGTTTTCAAGGCATAAACAAAGGACAAGACGTTCTACCATAACGGAATCATTCATGTGATTGCTACTCTAAGTAACCAGCAACAAAAAGGTATTGTTTGCTCCACTGCAAAACTACTGCAGGTCACAGCTCCCTTTAACCTCAGTGAGAACAAGGGAAAAGACAGGATATTTCTGAACTTGGCAGTGCTTCCATTTCACTTTGGAGTGAAACATCTGCCTAAGGGATGTCAGCGTATTAATGCTACTATTAGATGCTGGCATTGCTCACATGCAGGCTGCTGTAAATCCTTTACACATGGCATTAACTGATCAATGCACAGGGTAAAGCAATGTTGTGCATTGCCGTGGTACCTTTCTTTCAAAGGAACAGAAGAGATTTGCCTCAAAAGTCACCTGAGATTTCCATTTAACTCTCATTTCACAGATTAGGAAACTGCAGTTTAAGGGAGTCCTTGGCCACAAATGAAAAGCAGTCAAACTGGGAAGAAAATTCAGGCCTCGCAGTCCTGTGTTAAAGTCAGAAATTCATTACTTCTCCCTAACGGGGAATGTCATTCACAAGTTAGACTTCTTGCATTTTTTTTAATGGTCAAGAAGTCAAATTTTGGTAAAGACACAGTAAGGTCTATAGAACACCCCTCTGCACAGAAGCTAGTGCCATAGATCAGCTTTTGGTCATTTAATCTAAAGAACTGAGGATCTTTCCAGCCTTCAGGAGTACCACTATCCTTCAGGTTGATGCACCTTTCCTCCTGTGCCATATCTGTCCCACACTGCAAAACCCATTGCCCCTGTCAGATTTTAGACAGGCCTTTACCCACCAGAGATCAGAGTTTATGTTGCTAGATTTGAAAGTAAAGATATGACCAGCTAGCACCTAAACACTCACAGTGAATTTATGATAGAGTGGAAGATGACTCAGGATAAAAATCTTAAATTCCTTTTCCCTTTCTTAAATAAAATCTGTATTATTTATTCTACTATTTGTAAAATACTTTGCAAAAATACCAGAAACAAGTGAATAAAAGACATTTTGTTTCCTGGTATTCAGTTTGCCTCTAAACATTTTTGTGTGAAATAGAGGCACATACAAAGGCAGCAGGAAAAACAAAACAAAACAAACTCCCTGTTCTTTATATCATCATACACAGCTTGATACTTTAAACTGCAATGTTTCTACTGGGCTGTCTGTGCTCTTCTTACTAAATAAAGCTCTCCCCATCTATGCAGTTCATAACCGAGCATTCATCTATCCAGACAGGATGTTTTGGAGTATTTTGAGACAATGACTGCCAAGAATTATCACAAACTCTGCCTAAGCAGAACGTGCTTGGGGGAGGGTGAAACGGGTTTTATGAAACAAGTTACAAAAGTAGCTGTGTCCTACCTGCGCCCAGTTGCTGAAGACCTGACCATTTCCTCCATAAGTGACAAGCTCCTGGGGAAACTGAGAAAAGGAATTTTACAATATTAAAGCGAAGAAATTTCTGGAAATGTTTCAGAACATATCCTTGTCATTTGAAAAATAAAAATCTCAGTTACAGATCTTCTCTATAGCTTATTGCATTAATACTCTGTAGATTCTTGAAATCAGAATATACTATCATAAAAGTATGAGTTTTACATTATTGTTATAATGGTATTTTGGTGATGTAAAATGCTACAAAGTTATTCATGGGTGGCAGCTTCTGTAACAAACAGACATCCCAGAAAACTCTGTTAAAAAGGGTCCTAGTGATCTGAATCAGATTGCAACTGGCATTTGCTGCTGAAAGGGCCCAGGACCAGTGGGGCAGGGTTTTATAGCCTCTCCCTTGCCCCTAATACAACTAAGGCTTTACACTGGGTAGTGTTGGTAAGGATGGACTTTGGGCCTATAACCCTCTAGTAAAGCTGTCCTTGAGAAATGAGTTTGCAAAGCTGTAGAAAGTATCTTTTTTTTTTTTTTCAATATATGCTGCAAAAGCTACACACTAAGAACTGAATTTATTGCACAAGCAGTGATCAAGTTCTCATACATAATGAGAGCTGAAGACATTTCATTAGCATTAAAGAAGGTCTTCAAAGTCAGAGCCAGGACAAGGGTCCACTGCGCAGAATTAAATCCATGTACAGAATCTAAGAACTCAATACAAGGAATCGGCACAGTCACAACAGTGCAAGAGATGCATAATTGCACTTTAGTCTCCTTTAGGTCTCGCCTCAGAAGTGACCATTCTTGGTGACCATTCTTGGACACCACACTGAGTGTGACACTACTGAACTCCGCCGGCTTCGCTAACTCAGAGCGCCCTGCTCTCCACATAGGAGATGTGGCACAGAACTAACAAAAGGCTAATGAACAACTCAAAACCTGTTCAAGGTTTTGAGGGAGAATCATCTGCACAAATTAATTTCACCCCTATGCCTGAACTTTTGATTTTTATATAAACATATACAGGAAGTAACTTGCAGGCTTGCTGCTATTGTGTGAATGCTTTCCAGCTTCACAATTTTCACTGTGCCTTACCTGGGCCACCGAGGGATCCAGATTGTTCATGATCATCAGCATAATAGCACCAGCTGATTTGGTCTTGCAAGGATATTCTTCTATGGGATACGCCCTGAAAGAGTACCCACCAACTTTAGAAAGACACTTCAGTTCACAGATAAAGACAGCAATAAAATAGCCCACAGAAATCTCTCTCAATGTCAAATTGCCTCCAGTTTGTTCTTCAGAAGGGGAGGAAAGAAACTAAAAGGAGAAAGTGCAAATCTGAAATGATGTGTACAAGCAAATTGTGTTTCAACTCTCAGAGCTAACTAAAGAAAGCTAAGAAAGAAATTGGATTCTGCCTATCCTTTGCCAAGTCAGTTAATCACAAGTGCTCATAAATATGATGGCCGTGACTTCTCTCTGCCTCTTAGCCTGGATTATTTGGAGCGTGCTAGAACTGGTCTCTGTATCCCAACTGCCAGGATGAGCAGCTACATCCTGCAACACCAAGGAAAACTTGAGCAGTGGAAGTTGCTTGTAGGCTCAGCAGCCTTGTTATTTAAGATCCTATCTAAGGAGAAAAATACCCAGTTGGAATTTCAGTGCCAAAGAAACTCTTACAGATGTAACTGGTCAGGAGAAATATGGAATGTTTGTATTTTTTAGTATATCAGATGCATTTCATGAGAGAGAGTTGAGACCTTCACAAAGCTTTTTGAGTCAGGTTTCCCAGCACTGATGTACTTTAAGGTCAAGTGTGGCAATCATTCCAAATAAATCACATAAAGCAGTGAATAACACTCATTGGAAATGAAACCACTGTCTCTAGTGTCACACAGGACATGTAATTTGTTCAGCTGATATATTTTGTTAATGCCATGACTTCTGCAAGAGGTAGAATAAGATACAGTGGTGTCTCTATTCAAAGAGAACTCCTATAGATGAAAGCCGGTAAACAAATCCCAACCAAATGCAACAAATTCTGAATGCTCTAGTCCTTACCTCATCTCAATATCTGGATAGAATCTGTACATATATATATGTCCATACAGCCTGAGTTCCTCAGCAAATTCCAGCACTAGTATCTTTTGTATTTCAGGTGGAAAATAACGCAAGGCATTACGCAAAGCCAGCTGCCAAAAAAAATAATAATAATAATAGCAAAAGACACAAACACACAAAACAAGGTAAGAGAGAAATGGAGGTAAGCAGATGGCCATGAACTTTCAGCAGAATCATCTGGAAGCCTGCCCAGGATAACACAGTGATGGCTTTTAAAGGCCAAGCTCATACTGAAGGAGCCACCATTCTTCTTTACTGTTGAAATATCTCCATCTGCATCTTTCCTTGTAAATTAAATTTACACCTGAGAATGGGGTGGCTGTAAGAGTTTTTGGAGGTTTATTAGGTAATACTCAATCCTATGGATCAGAAAGAGACAAATTCTCTCTCACAGTGCTAGGGGGCACTGAACTACCAAGAAAAATATTGTTCAGATATCAATCTGAGAGCCTGAACTCCTAGAGACACTGAAGAGCTTTCATTCAAGTAAGGGATCTTGGCCATGAATTATATTGGTTGATCCCAGATTAAGATGTTTTGGGACAACATTTTATCAGATTAAGACAAACTACAACTAGCATCCTAATATATTGCAGAAGGTGGTAGTTGACACTATTTTACTGAGACTATATGCATCAATTCTAAATTAGGTGAAATGATTAGTAAGCACTGAACTAAATTCTGCCTATGATACCAAGAGGCCCATACTCTCTATTGCTTTCAAAGAGATTAGCCACAATTTGCAAAGTAAAGTGTGTCCTCTGGGATGAAAGAAACCATAAATAAATCACAATCCTTAGTAACAGTCATAGCTGCATATTTCATGTTCCATTTGTTTAAAACCATAATAAGCATAAACGCTTTGTAATCTTTAAGAAACTCAATTGCATGCAAACATATTAAATGATTCTACAGATTCTCCTGCAAATGGCAGCACTAATCAAACAACTTTTAGTTAAGGAGATTCACAAAGTATGCAAAATTTCACAGCCTCATTAAGCTATTTTGTAAGTACTGAGTGAGGGCAGAAAGAAAACAAGTTTCCTTCTAGATCTGGTAGGAGTCTAACCAGGAAAACTTAGATTTGAAGATTCCCAGGCTCAAAACACCTGCTGTTGGCAATTCAGAGAGTCATGGAAGCAAGTATTCCCTGGAGGAAATAAAGGGAGGTATTTCTTGTAATACCAAAAACATAATAATGAGATTAGAAAAAAAGGCATCTAGAACCCTCCAGTTTTGGCATCTTTACTATCTTTATTGCTCTGAGAAAATAAAATGTCCTGGCAAAAAGTCCTAATAAACTCTACAGATCACTCCTTTTGGCTCAGCAATAAACCTTTGGTAGGTTTTACAAACAGTATGGTTTGAACCTCATAGTCAGAGTTCTCTGCTTACTTTATCATCAGAGATTGCTGGTCCCACATAAATTAGAGATGATATAACAGTACTTCTACTGTCTGAGTGTTCTTGTCAACATACTGTACACACAGAAGTCAAATAGTTTTGAATCAGCAAAACTATGTTGATTTACACCACATAAGAATCAGACTTGTAAACCCCTGCAATTTCATACAGGGAATGACATGGGAAAAACCTATTTACCAGACTAGAAAATGCAAATTCCATCTTCAAATACCACCTTATTGTTCTTTAGAAAGATAGGCACTTATTTTAAGAGTATATCACCAAACCAACAAAAACAAACCAGATAAATTTACCCTGTGACAAAATGAGAGGGTTTTTTCCAAGTTGGTATCTTGGAGCCAAGCAGCCATCATCTGAATTCTAGCTCTGAAAAATGTCTAAAGTGACAATGAAATGCTACATCCCTTGCAACAACAAAATTAAGTTCTACAAAAGGAACAAGAGTGACATATTTTGAAATGAAAAAATGCTGCCCCATTTGGCATTTTAGACACCTATAAGAACTACAGAAAATAATCAGAATGAAAATATTTCCGTTTCCAAAACACAACAAGGATCACCTAGGCTTTGATCAGTGTTTTTTGTATTATAAAGAATTTTCATATTTACCTTAAAAATAAGAGCAAGCAAAATCTGTTTGCATTTTCAAACACACTCTCTCAAATAGAGCCTCTGCCCTGTTAGTGTTCCGTGTTAACAGAAGCCTGAATTTTGATGATGCAAGCATTAAAGAAACATGAATTCTGATGCTACGTGAAGGGCAGGAAGGGCTCGTGGGCTGGTAGACAATAAAGAGCTGATGTTATAAAAGGAGTCTAAGACTATGGCTTGTTTAGCCTAGAGAACAAAGGTGGCATTTGATTGCTGTCTCGCTGCAGGATAAATGTCAAAGCAGGAAAGCACTTCAGGGAAATGCTGGAAGAGGAATAAATAGCTATTAATTAGCCATGAAGAAACAGTCTTCAAATTAGAAGAATTTAAATATAAGGTTCTGAAAGAGCCTCTTAATAGGAGAGGTAGAACCCTTGAAAATGGTTAGATGGAGCCTATCTGGTTTAGGAAGAGGTAATTGCTACATGCATTCTGGAGTCATTTTGTGTATTCATTATTAAATCAAACTGTACAATAACCTCAGAAAAGCACTCAAGGACTGAATTCAAATAGACTGATCATCATGCTTTTGTAGAAAGGCAAAACAAGGCCACCTATTCCTTAAGTTTCATTAAAGAACAATACCAAATGTTAACCTAACCTTTATATAGGATTAGTTTTACCCATTATGGGCAGATTTTAGACCTTGTGGGTTTGATACTCAGGTGTTATTCTTGTTCTGAACTTCCCCTCACAGCAGCTTACGCTGTATGTGCTTAGCATCTCTGAAAATCAGGTTCAGAGTTCAATGGAATTTCAAAAATCAATGGTGATTATACTCCTGAACCTGTTTGGTCATTTTGAGAGACCCTGATTCAGCTCAGCACAATGAAAGTATTTGATGCAGAGTCTTCCTCTCAGATCTGCCAAGTGGATCTAATGCTTATCTATTATAGCTAAGCTCTCACTAGTAGACTGTCTTTTTGTACTTAATGGAATTCAAACAGCAAAACATGATCCTGTTGCCATTGAATCAAGAGTCAGAACTCATCAACAACAACTCATCAACATGAGGTAGTCAAAAGAGTCTATGAAAATCTGCTTCAGTCAATCAACTGTATCTTTGTCATGGAAGTCTCTTGAGAAATCAAATCGGCCTCTTGTTAATTGGTTCTTGTTGAAGAGCTGGTGCCTCTTCGAAGTAAATGACATTCATTTGCCTCCCAAACAACATAAGGACTTCCAATTTAAGGATCTTAAGACACTTTACAAACACCAAGATCTGTAGTCTACCCTTTTACTAAGGGGAAAGTAAAACACAAAGAGCAAGTGATCAGCTCCACAGTCTCCATATTAGCTCTCCTCTCTTTTCCCAGTGAAGATATTGCTTGCCTCTCATCTGTTTTACATCTGATGATAGCCAGGTCCAGAATCATTAGCAGAACTATTCCCTAACCAGTAATTGTAAAAGACTGATTTCATTTATTATTTTCCCTAGACAGGTCTCAGTTCAGTTCACAAGGAAGTATGGTCATTTCTGACCAGCCATTGCTATAAATGCACCACTGACTGTGAAAGTTCATTTCTTTATCACAACTTTATAAAAGAAGAGCTAGTGCCTGACCTTCACAATCCATGTATAAGGTTTTTGAAAGTAGCTTCATTTCCAGCTTTGTAAAGCAGTCATCAAGGGCAAAAATCCTCCTCCTTTATCAGTAACATCAACAGGATCTTCAGGTGTTATACAACTCCACAACACTCCCAGCTATGATTTTTAGCTCTTTATACCAGGATGTCACAGAGCAGCCAGTGTAGCCTTCTTCCTAAGGAATGCAGAGCCAAGGCAAAACAGCCAGAAGGGCAGAGGTCTCACCAGGCAGGGTCCTGTCCCACAGCAAGGAGAGCAGAGCAGGCCAGGCCAGGAGTCACAGCCCGATTCAACCAAGAATCCAGATCATCAGACGAGTTTGGGGTGATGAGGCAGGTCAAAGCTCAAGCCAGCAATGCAAGTCATGATCAGGTCTGGTGACAATAACCAGCTGGACACAGCCCAGAGATCACCAGGTCAGTTCACAGGGACAAGGAAGGTCTAAAGTTATGCTGGGAAGAAAGTCTGGCATCCAGATCAACAAGGCCTATAGAGAAGAAGAGTCCCAGAAAGCTCAAGACCGAACTTAAATGGAGCCTGGGGGCCCACGGTATGGGTGGAAGCCCCAGGTGAGGCTGGTTGGCTATTAGTGGGCCTATTAGTGCCCTCAGGGCTCAGATACCATGGGAACACAAATTAAAATAAATTGGTAAGAGATGATGATTTTGGGGTAAAGAGAAGGCTACAACATCATTGGACTTAAAAATGTATAAGGAAACTGGTATATGGATTTTTAAAAATGACATTTTTTTCTGATTCTAAGCAATACTGACAAATATGCAAGTTGTGACAGTTTTACTGGAAGGTCAACGAGTATGCAATGTCCTTGCTTTGCAAAGGACACACCAAGCATGAGATTTTCAGGGTAATTCATTTGCAGCATATTTATATTGAGACACAGATGCTGAGAAACAAAAAGCTAGCGTTTCCTGATTTAAAAAAGGATGTGGCTGTTACAGGCCCCAGCTGAAGAATGAAGAAGGAAGAGCACTCAGGAAGTGTATAAACAAAATCAGTTCTGAGAAACAGTTTGATTTATCCAAAGAGATTAAAGCTGGTATGATAGGAAGAATTACATATCTCTTCAGCAGACCCGAAAACACACAGATCTTGATAAATCTCATTTATAGGAGGTCCCAAAAATAAAACATTGGCAGTGCTAAGGTTTACTACTGTAAAAATGAGTAAAATTCAAATGAAAGCAGATGAACAGAGGGACAGATCCTTACTGAAATGAACTAGTGAAGCACTATTGACTGCTGTCAAGGCTTCCCATGAGCAATTTAATTAAAAAATGAACGCAGTGTCATACGGAAAGACAAGCCTTGCAATATAATCAGCACTGCACTGCCAACAGTATCTGGAAGCTTGTTTCAAGGCTTAAACAGTACCTTGCAAAAAGACATACTTTTCTAAGTGTGGAACACCTCGTTAAAAAAAAAAAGAGAGAGAGATTGGGCTTTTCGGATATAAAATAAACACCAGCTGAGCCTCTAAACCTGTTAGGAGTCTGAGGCGGAAGATTAAGAGTAAAATAAATCAGAAAGGAAGCTTTAACAGGCTACTAAAAAACAGTCAGCATGACCTTTCATCACATACGGCAGTTAAGAAGGGGAGATGAGGGTAGGATGCTAGACAGTAGCCTGGGCCTGGGACCAGAAAAGCAGCCCAGTAGCAGCTCTCTCCTTGCAGCAATTACAGGAAACTATTGCAATTTCTATACAGGGTCTGAGGGCTCCGTCACTGCATTCTCTTCCCAGGTACAGAACAGGATCTAGCATCAGAGCACAGCTCACTGCCTGCTCCTTTTTCTTCACAGCCATGTCCATGGTCCCCTCTGCACACTTAGCTGCACTTCCCCATGTCCCCGCGCAGACGGTCTCAGCCACGAGGGCTGCCTGGTGCTGCAGAGTATCTCACTGCTGTTCCCCTTTTCACCCTTTGCCTGGGCTCTTCTTTGCTTGTGGAAATGGACTTCAAAAGAATTTGGCTGCTCATGCCCGTGGGGAACTCCCACAAAATGCGAGGAAGTTGTGAGCAAGTTGTTAGTGGAGAAGGTACTTCCGTGTGCTGACCAGAACGTCACGTTATAACTGATGTTATATATGATGAAGCACAGACTTTCGAACTAAGGAACTCACCTTTTCTTCTCCTACACAAAATTCCTGAGGATCTCCACCCATCAAATTATTTTCTGCTGCAAATTTCTTTTTAAATGCTAACATGAAGTCATGCAATGATTACTTTAGTGCTCACGTAGACAATTCAAACAAAAAGACATAGGAAAAGTTACACAACCGAAGACAAATAATTAACCCAACATCTTACAAACTTGTCTAAATTCCAGAAAAATTCAGATTAGAGTTTAAACTAAATTATCTTTGCATCTTTGAGGCAAATATATGCATGTGTGCCCGGTTTGTACAAAGATTTTGATTCTCTACATCTCTACGTGTATTCTCTGTATTTGAGGGGCAAGCTTTCACTCCCATAAATATGCAGTGTTCTTGTGACAGCATTCCTAATTACATCTCCAAGGAATGATGCTGGATTGACAGCACCAGACTCTAAGGCCTCTTGTTCAGCCATTTAAAGGCATGGAATCTGTTGTGCAGCAAATCTCCCTCATATCAATCTGCTCATATATACGGAGAAAGAAAGCAAGCAAAAAGGCAGAGGAGTCCCCACTACTTAGTCCCAGTATGTAGTGAAGTTATAAAAAGAAGGAAATGCATTTGCCACAAAGTTAACTCCATCTCCAGAAAAGCATTGGAGGAAATCAGGTCTGCTGCTCTGAGCTGCATTTATCTGGAAGGAAGAGCAGCAAGGCCCTGTGAGACCCTGTATTACCTTTTTCTCCTGAGCAGTGAGATTAGGGGTTCGCACCGGTGCGTGGGGTACTCCTTTCCTCCGACCTCTGTTTTCGGGCAGAGGGTGGAGAGGAAGACCACGGCAGATTTCCTTCAGGCTGGTCATAGCTGCTAGGGAATTGCTGGGAGGAAAGGACAGGCGAACTGGAGAGGCACGAGGACTGGGGAACGAAGCGTGCGGGCCAGCTCCCGCCGAGCGGGGCCACCACTGCGACGGGGCTCAGAGCACAGCCCGTCCTCCGGCTCTTGCAAACAGGCCGAGGGCAGGTGGCACGGGTGACACACCTCCCTGCTCCGAGCTGTGCCATTGGCTCATCCTTCCTCCCCCAAAATGAATGATTCACAGTTTTGCTGTTTATTTTCTAGGTGCTTTCTCAGCTGCTGCTGAGCTAACACTGGAGAAAGTCACTCGCTTCCCATATCAGCTAATTTCCCCAATGGGCTCGTGAGAGTGACGGGCTTGAGCGTGAGCCTTGCCTGAGACCACGAGGCCTCTGCATTTCTGTAGGTTAGGACTGACTAAGGTTACTCCTTATGAGTCATGGCACCATCCAGATACACTGTTCCATTAACACAGGCATTCATGTTTGACACCTCTGGGTACAGGCTGTCCCTTGGATCTGATCAGTTTGTTCCATAGAAAAACATAGAAAACCGCTGTTAGTTGTTAGCTTAGCTCACAGGAGTGCCTCGATTTTAGCAGAATTAAACCGGAGACCTAGCAGCCTCATCAGCTCTGGTAGCAGTTTCCTCCAGACAGGAAAAACAGTGAGGAGGAATTAAGGTTTTCAGTTCTAAATCACTTTATATCCTACTTCAAAACCTCCTGCTACCGTCGTCCAGAGGTTGCAACTAAATGAATAAGCTTAACATTGACTTTCCATTTCAAATGCAACATGCACTTTGCTCTCTGCTTTGAGCTGCTGATTAAGTTATACCACAGCTCCTTGTTCTTCATTACGTGCAATGAACTACAACTCACAAGCATGGATTTTTCTCAAGTGCCTCCGTTTAAGACTGGTGAAATTAACTGGGAGAAACGTTTCAGTTAGGAATGAACGTAAAACCTTTGGAATAAAAGTAGAAAAATACCACCGCATTTTTCCACAAGGCATCAATCAACAAGCAGTGACAACAAAGCCTGGTTATTAAATGACAGCATCTCATTAATGTCGTGTTGGCTTTAGCTCTAGGACATACTGCACATCCCCAGCTCCCACTGGAGATGCTTGAGTTGAAAGACTCCCAACATCCCGGGAGAGCAGAGCACGCAGCAGACTCAAATCCTCTGAGGGATGCGGATTGTCATCTATGGCAGGAGAATTTTGTTTTGCAATTATATAGTGTTTTAGCTGTTCTTAAACAAAAGACAGAGAAAGAGGGAGGAAAAATCTCCTTTATATTTTAAATGTTTCTATTGGGCTTTCCTATTAAAAACATACAGAAAAGGGAAGATAAATGTAAAGTGAGAAAATTCTATCCCATCCTTACCTCAACATCCTAACTCACAGAAAAACATTTTTTTCCTTGTAAGACCTGCATCCTCCGTACCCCGCCTAAGGTCTGATCCCATGCACACGTGGGCACAGGAATAACCTCTTTTTCATTTGGAAACCCATCAGACTTGCTTCCCTCTGCAACATCAGCCACACGTTAGTGGCATTATGCTGCCTTAAAAGCTGAAGGAAGAGATGAAGCCAGGCAGGGAAATCACTCCCTGAATTAAATTATTCCTGGGACCCAGCACTTGCACAGGGTGATATCCACCCTGGACCCTTCTGGGTCACCAGGAGCTCTGTGCTGGAGAAGCCCCTGGGCAAATCTGTCTGCAGGGTCATGCTCAGTGCTGGGTAGGTCTTTGGGACAGGCAGGTGTTTCCATGGTACTGGGCACTCTCCAGGACATTCCCCAGCTTCCCTGGCAAGTTGGAAGTCTCTGGCACATCCCAGCTCCCCTCTGTGAGTGCTTACGGGAACAAACTCCTCGTGTGTGCCCGGGCGAGCACCCTGCAATCCGTGCAGACCCCACAAAGCCCGTGGCGGGCAGGGGCTTTGCGGGGGGCCCGGCTGCCATGTGCCGGCCGCCTGGCAGAGGGTGCTGCAGGGCCCTGCACGCGGACACGCGGACACGCAGCCCGGCTCCTGCAGGGGAAGATGCGGCTGGAAAACAACGTCTGCATCTGAGAGCAGCAGCGAGCAGCCCAGCTGACGAGGAGGTGCGGAACCGAGCCAGCCCCCTCCTCCTCCTCCCCACTAAAAAAAAAAAAAAATGCACATATAAAGCAGCACAGGAAGAAGATCACATGTTATAATAATCCCCTTTGCAACCAGAGAGCACCAGGGAGGAGAAACGGCCCGGTTCGGGCTGCGAGATGTGATAGCGGCTGCGAGAGAGGGAGAGCAAAACTTGGAGCTAAGCGAGCAGCCCGGGCACGGGCAGCAGCTGCGG